TTTCTAACAGTGTTATGCTCCTACGTGTGTGTGTGTGTGTGTGTGTGTGTGTGTGTGTGTGTGTGAATGCCTTTATTTCTCGTTTGCATTCTGCTGGACTTCCCGGGTCAAGCGAATAACGCTCTAACGGAGTATTGTTCAGCCCGACGTTTCTCCGCTGCTCAATTGGCTGTGGTCTTCTCGTTCTGTCGCCGTTTTGTGTTCGTGACGTCCATCATTTCCAGCTGATACGCGTGTCGGCTTCCTTACGCGCATCTTCTGCAGCGACTGACTCTCTCTCTGTGTGTGTGCGAGCGCGCGTTTGCCCCAACGTCGCCAGGACCTGCACATATCCGCAGTATTAGCTGCCCTCCTCAGGAACAAAGTAAGGTGGCGTGCGCTGCGGGGTAATCGAAAAGTATTTTTTTTTAAGGCGAAGACGAAATGAAGAACATTGCCGCCAAAAGGATTAGCAAAGATCTTAGGCTTCTTCTTGAGGATGTTACGGCAAGTAGTGAAGGCAAAAACAGGTGCGTAACACAGTCCGCCGTTATTATTGCCGTTGACGTGGAGAACGTCTATAGTTGGGTTCTGAAAGCGAAAGCTCCCGCCGCTAGCGTCTACGGTGGCGCGGACCGCGTGTACGAACTCACGGTGCTCTTTTCCGTGGACTATCCACATGATCCACCAACCGTGCGTTTTCTTACCCCAATATACAGCCCCTTGGTGACAAAAGAAGGCGTGATTTGTGATCAGATGGTTCGCATCAACTGGACCCCTGACATGCAAGCCTCTGACGCCGTACGCCTCGTCTTGGATAGAGTGTTTTCCCAATACAATAAACACCATGAGGACGATGTCTATCCTGAGGCCCGGCACTGTTTAGAAAATTGTCCAGAGGACTATGCTGAAAGAGTGCGACGTGGTCGTTGAGTGTCTAGCGCATTAATAGTGATGAAAAAAGTTGACTTTGTTGTTGTTGTTGTTGTGTATATGATGTGTGTTGGTTTGTTTCTTTGTCGCAGGTACACTTAGATGAGATGCGGTTGTTGAGAGTTGTTTAGCGACACGGTGTGTGCCGCCCAGCTGTGGATAAGTTTGCAGTTAAGTCAGATTTATGGAGGGGAAGAATTGCGCGTTTGAAGCAATGAAAGTTTGTCGGTGTATGAGAAACGGTGAGCTTTGTTTGCTTATTTATTGGCGTTAGACCTCCCTGCACGTGTTGCTTTTTTTTCTTTTGTCGACGACAGCGTCCTTGCTGCTTGCACATCGCTTTTGCGCCTTCTTTATTTTAACGCATCTGTTGCTCTTCGTCCTCCACACACACACCCACACCCACACCCATGAGGCACAACATGCGTCGGGTACGTCAACCTTTCGGCGCAACGTATTGTGGCGGGTGCGTGCCTTCGATTCGTGTTGTCATTCGTCGTGTGATTCAGTCCAGCCAGGGCAAGGGCCTGCGTAGTGTTCTGGATCAGTACGAGGATTTTAAACTGGTGCAGCAACTCCGCAAGAACGAAAAGGGGAACTACTATCGTTACCAGCAGAAATTGTGGCCTTCAACGGAGGCGTTGGAGCGGTCCATGACGGAGCGACTCTACAGCTCTACGGAGCGTTCGCCCCTAATGCTGCTACCACAACCAAAGCGGGCATCTTCCAATCGCACGCTTGTTATCGAAGGACATGGTGCAACGGCGCTGCTAGAAGCTGCGGAGGCGACGTTTGCGCACGATGCTCACGCAACGGTGGATGGGACCGCAACATTAACAGCTCCTTTTGATAGCGTGGATGAAATGCTCGCTGCGCAGCTGTGCGCCGACCAGCAAAAGGGCATGGAAAGCAAGATCATTACCGATGCCGATTTAGAAGGCACGGTGCTAGAATCCTCTCGTGAGCGTGCTAGACATGTCATTGAAGAGGATCTTGCGGTTAACGATTTGGTAAACTCCCCGTCATCGGCTTCTCCAGCAGCACTGATCTCGGGTCGCAAGTTGCCGTCTGCGAAAGACGAGGGAGGTGTAGCGTGGTTCTCTCTTGGAATGGACGCGGTGCTGAGTGACAGGGCGCTCGCCAAGTATGGCCCAGCTCCTACACGTCTTCAGTGTCGTCTGCTCCCGGCGCTTCTGCACGAGGATCACAATGATGTTCTCTTTAATGGGGTCACTGGAAGTGGCAAGACAAGTGGTCTCCTTCTTGCCTTACTGCAGTGCGTTCGAGCCGAAGCAGCGGGTCTCAACGTATTTGTGGCAAAGGATGAGCTAACGGCGTTGTATGCGTACAATCAGCTTCGAGCGCTTTGTGGTCCTTCGGGAGGAACAGTGGTGGACCGTCCGCGAGATGATTGGTCGTGGATGTATCTAGGGGCTCATCGAGGTAGTTACGTGACCTACTACCGTGCGCTTCGGCGTTCACTGCAAAGTGCGCATGGCCCGGTGCGCATATTCATTACAACCGCAGATACAATGTGTGAGTTATTGTTTGAAAAAAAAATGGAATTTGAGGCCTTTGGTTACTTGAGGCGTGTGTACGTCGATGATGTTGGCGTGCAAATACCCATGTTGACGCCTACTGCTCCTGTGGCGGAGGTGCGGGAGCGCTTGAGGAACCCACTGGCATGCGAGTTGCTCTTGGGAACACTGCATCAACTTCCAGGGCCGCACATTCGTTCCATCTTGCAGCTTGGGCTTGTATCGTCTGACATGGATGAGCGTCTCAAGGATCATTTAAAAGCACTCTGTGTAAAACTTGAGCGTCACACCATTGTTCTCTCTTCTGTGCGTGTTCCTTCCACAATTCACTGTCTTTTCAGCTTTTATTTGTACCACGAGGACGTGTACGAGTATCTCGTAAAACTAATTTGGAATGCCCGGAGCACCATCCCCGGACGTGCCGTGATATTCATTCGCTACGAGGATGATCTCTTGCAGGTGCGAGCAAAACTGCGGGGTCTTGGCATGAATGCCAAACTTTTTTCGGAGGTGTACCATAATGGCGAGTTTTCTGAGAAGTGGAAGTTTCTGCTTCTTCGGGAGTCTGAGGCGTTTGGCATTGACATACCTCTTGTCTCCCACGTGTTTATCACCTTTTGTCCCCGTGCGGCATACTCCTTTCAGCACATGTGTGGACGCACGGGGCGGCTGGGCAACCTTGGCTGGGCCTACACCGTCACCGACAAGCGTGACGCCAGACGTGTGCGGGAGATTGCCTCTCAGTTAGACGTGGATTTTTGTAGTCACGTTGTCGATGCCCAACTCGCACAGGTTGCTGCGAAGGATGTTGACCGTCAAACCAAGGAATACGAGTTATACGGTCTTGATCCTCAGTACGCGGTGAGGCAGCACTATATTGTGCAGAGTGAGAATCCCGATATGGCGTACCGAAGCCGCGAGTTCTTCAGCAGGCCCGCCAAGAGGCAATTTCAGTTGGAGCAGTACACACCAACCTCCGTCCTGCACCGTCGCTTTGTTAACGCGAAAAAGCTTGCCGCGGATGTCAATCGCGATCCAAGCGTGACGGTGTCACTCCAGAAACAGGGCATGCTTGACCAAAAGTTGCGACCAACCAAGCGGCTGAAATTTCTTCTTAATAAAAAAAGCCGTAGGTACGGCACATCTCTTTACAGTGGGAAGGAAAGCAGATCTGACAGCAGATGAAAAGCTGTAATATATATGTTGCGTTTTTTTGGTTTTATGCGTAGTTTTCCTCCTCAGTCTGCGGATTCCCCGTGTGGAGTTTCAGCCGTGCGAAGAGAGCTGGGGGCTCACTTATGTTGCTCTTGTGCCCTTTTCTCTTCGCTGTGGCATGGGCGCCGGGTGAGGAGGGCGTCACTTCCGGCACGAAGACACATGCCTGTATGCGGGTCTGCCCCCACCCGACAAGAAACGGAGGAATATGAGGCTTTTTCCTTTGGAAGAGATGTCTGCTGTAGGGACGTCGCGGAGCGGTAGAAGTGCATTGAAGTCCCCTTTGACGGCTGAATGGCCGGCGGCTGCGGAGTTGGTGAATAGCCGACAGCGGAGCGCCAGGACATCCCCAACTGAGCGCTGGTCTAAGCTAACCGTGCAGCCGCCGCCGGGTAACACCACTGAAGCAGCTTGCTCGCTGGGCCCCAGGCGAGATGAACCGCGCCTCGCAAAACAGGTGGGTATCCGCCCGCCCGCCAACGTTCAAGCGAGGGGCGGTAAAAATGGCGTGGAGTTGTTAGCTCGCTGCCTGGGACGCTACCAAGAAATTGCCCTGAAGTGCAAGGAGAGTTCTGTTCAGTTAGCGAAGATAGAGGCGGAACGGCGATGGCAACTCGAGGAAATGGCAAGGTTTTCAGAAGAAATAAAGGCCAAAGTGGATCAACTCCACGTGTTGGAGGGGCAAATATCAGGCGCACTTGCAGAAGAATCGAGGGAAAATGGGCGTCTCAGAGAAATTGCTGCACGGCGAGGATACATATGAACTCGTCACCCCCGAAAGAGTGTTTGAAACGCCTTGGCAACGTATATGCCTCACTACGAGAAAACGTTTGGTTTGTTGATACTACTTTAAATAAAACATCTTCTCGAAATATTACTGTGTTTCATATGTATATATCTAAATCATAAAACAAAACTTACTCTGTTGCACTGTAAGTCATTATTCTAAATCTCATCTGCAAAAGAAGTCTTGCGAAATAACCCCACCACCTCTCTTCTTTGTTGACGTCAAAGGCGCCGGCGATGCGCAACCCGTTCCAGGTGGTGGTGCGCTGCCGTCCACAGCTACCGGAGGAAAAGGGTGACCCATGTTCTCGCGTTTCTTTTGGAGATAACGATGGGCGGGTGTTTGTGAGTGGCAGGGGCCAGGAAGACACGCGCTGCTTTACCTTCGACCGGGTTTTTACACCGGAGTCGACGCAAGAGACTGTCATGCAGGCGGTGACACCGATGATTGACCACGTCCTCAGTGGCTTCCACGCCACCGTGTTCGCGTACGGGCAGACGGGGAGCGGGAAAACGTACACAGT